CTACATAATTTACATATGGTTTTCCTTTCCGGAAGGCCCCAAAGGGATTACAAAAAAGATACCTTGTTTATCTTGGAGATTACAACACCTTCGCTATCGTGGTTATTCTACAAGTGGTGGTGGCACTACTACTAAGAAAACTGAGAGTGCTCTAGAAACTGCTCTGCTTGCTCGAAGCTCTGGACTCCGTCTCTTCTGTGTGTGTGTTCTCCGCAGCGCTTAGTCCTCCTCCTTATATAGTGCGCAAGGGATGCTAGATGCTCCCTTCTTTATTCTTCCGCATCATAGCTGGAGCCTTGAGTATACTGCAGCTTGACACCCTTATGCACCATTGAAGTGCTTCAAAGTTTGCATAATCAAACCTTGCATGGATCCCATGCTAGACTGATGTTTTTGTCCGGACCGAGAACTTTGTCTAGACTAAGAACTTTGTCCAGACTAAGAACTTTGTCCAGAACGAGAACTTTGTCGTGGCTGAAATCCTGGCTTTTCGTTGAATGAGAAGATACGATTATTTTATTGTTTTTATTGGGGGTCTTCTCCGCCAATTTAATGATAAGGCATTATCTATATTCAGATTCGCTCCTATTGGGATATTATCAGTATTTGGAGAGGTCCTCCGCGCCCGACTTGATACTAATAGCAATTCAAGTATATGGACTTATATTCAATAGGTTGCCCATGCCTAGCTATGTCCATGTGATCGTCTTCAAACAGATGGAAATCATATTTGCTATCACATTCTTCTGTATTTCTTCAAATTTTTCATCTATTCCTTGTCTTAATTCTTTTAAAATTTTCTCTGTCAATTCTTTCTTTATTATTTTTGACAATTCTTCAAATCTTCTATCCATTTCTTGATCTATGTATTCACTATCTAGAGGGTCAATTCCCTTTAGAAGGCATTCTTGATATGTATGATATTTTGGGGATTCTTCATTCTTTATATTCTTCAAGCTTGATGCTTCTCCCTTTGTAGGAATTGCTGAAGCAGGTATATTTTTATCTATGCCTCTTCGCTTCAGGATATATTCTTTAGCCTTTCGGTCAATATAATAATTCTCTCCTATTATGTCCATTGCCCGTTTCAAGGAATCATTGATATTATCATATATTTTGGATGTTAGTTCTTCATTTCTTCACTTTGCCGCAAACTTCTCTATTTGAATTTCTTCTCATGACATGTATATTCCTGGCTTATTTCCCTCAAGCATAATATATAAATGTTCTTCTTTTTGTACTTCAACTTTTGCTGTCTTTTGAATATTTTTGTTCAACATATTAAATATTCTGCAAGATTATTGAGATTAGATAACACGTATCCTTTGTCTTCTCTCTTCATTGTGTATTGATACCAAATATTATCCAATAAGCATCCTTGGATCTCATCAATACGATATGGTTCTTTGGTTTGAAGTAGCATGTATTTGGTGGAAGTATTTTTAATTTATTATTATCTCAGAATATAAAACATTCACTTCCACCGCTGAATATTTCTCTCTTCATTTATGTAAAATTTGTGAACGAGAAAATATGTCAGGCAAACTATTATATTTTCCCTTAAGATCCTCGAATATTACTTTAGAAGGATAGACTCTGCAACTATATGTCATATTACAATAAAATGAATAGTATGAAAAGCTCGACAAGAAGATGGGTCTTATTTTAAGATACTATAGTCGGGAATGGATATAAAATAATATTACTATGAAGCTATATGTCATATTACAATAAAATGGATAGTACGAAAACCTCGACAATAAGATTGGTCTTATTTGAAGATACTATAGCCGGGAATGGATATAAAGTAATATTTGAGCATACTAAGGGAAAAGATAACAGTTTACCTGACATATTTTCTCGTTCACAAATCTTACAGAAATGAAGAGAGCAACACTCGGTGGTCGAATTGAATGTTTTATGTTTGGAGATGATAATAAATTGAAAATATTTCCACCAAATACATTTAATTCCAAACCAAAGATCCATATCCGTATTGATGAGATCCAAGGATGCTTATTGGATAATCTTTGGTATCAATACACAGTGAAGAGAGAAGAAAAAGGACACATGTTATCTAATCTCAGTAGTCTTGCATAATATTTTAATATGTTAAACAAAAATATACCAAAGATAACAAAAATGTAAGTAGAAAAGGAAGATATTTATATATTATGTTTGATGGAAATTAGCTAGGAATATACATTTCATGGGAAGAAATTCAAATAGAGAAGTTTGCAACAAAGTGAAGAAACAACGAACTAACATTCAAAAGATATGATAATATCAATGATGCCCTGAAATGGGCAAGGGACATAACAGGAGAGAATTATTATATTGACCAAAAGGCTAAAGAGTATATTCAGAAGTGAAGAGGCATAGATAAAGATATACCCACTTCAGCAATTCCTACAAAGCGAGAAGCATCAAGCTCGAAGAATGTAAAGAAGGAAGAATCCCCAAAATATCATATATATCAAGAATGCCTCCTGAAGGGAATTGACCCTCTAGATAGTGAGTACATAGATCAAGAAATGGATACAAGAGTTGAAGAATTGTCAAAAATAATAAAGAAAAAATTGAAAGAGGAAATCTTAAAAGAATCAAGACAAGAAATAGAGGAAAATTGAAGAAATAAAGAAAGAATGTGATAGCAAATATGATTTCCATCGATCACATGGATAGAGCTGGGCATGAGCAGCCTCCTGAATAGAAGTCCATATACATGAATTGATTTTGCTATCAATTATTCGGTTCCGGTGGACCTCCCCGAATATTGATAATATCCCAATATGAGCTAATATGAATATTGATAATGTATTATCAATTGTATTGACGGGGAGGACCCTCAATATAAAAATAAAAAAAATAAGTGTATCTTATCATGGAATGAGAAGCCAGGATTTCAACCATGACAAAGCCTTCGGTTTGGACAAAGTTCTCAGTCTGGAGAAAGTTCTCACTCTAAACAAAATTCTCACTCTAGACAAAAAACATCAATCTAGCATGAGAGTCATGCAAGGCTTGATTGTGCAAAGTTTGAGCCACTTCAACGGTGCATAAGGCGTCAAGCTATGGTTTACTCCAGGTTCCAGGTATGACGCGGAAGAATAAAGAAGGGAGCATCTAGCATCCCTCCCACACTATAAAGTAGGAGGTCTGAGCGCTTTGAAGAACACACACAGAAGAGACGGAGTCCAGAGCTACGAGCAAGAAGAGCAGTCTCCAGAACACTCTCAGTTTCCTTAGTAGTAGTACCACCACCACTTGTAGAATAGCCACCATATCTAAGGTGCTATAATTGCCAAGAATAATAATGTATCCTTTTTTTAACCCCTTCGTGTCCTCCCGAAAGGGAAAACCATATGAAAATTATGTTGTGAAATTCGTGCTTCACTTGGTATTTTTACTTATGAATAGAACGTGCAAACAACGGCAAAGAATTAAATATTATAGTGAATAGTGAATACTATTCAAATACAATATTAACCTAATGACCTAATATGCAATTAAGTTAATAAGCTAATATGTGATTAGGCTAATCTACTGCGCTAATGTTCTATTTGGATAGTATTCACTATTCACTACAATATTTAATTCTTTGCTACTGTTTGCCCGTTCTATTCTTCTGGTTATTTTCTAATGCTTGATCTATTAAGGGCTGGTGAGGCCAATAGTACAACCGGTGATGTATTTGTCTATTTATTTATTTATATTTATTTTTATATTGAGGGTCTTCCCTGCCAATATAATTGATAATACATTATCAATTCAGATTCACTCCTATTAGGATATTATCAATATTCAAGGATACACACACACACACACAATTTTACAGACATACTACCCCAAACTAGTGCTTGTTCAGGTTTTTTCTTTTAATAAATGAACGGTCAGGCCAAGGCCTTGGTACCATTTTCCTCTTATATAGCTTTTTTGAGTTGAATTCCTCTTGTATATTACTCCCTCCGTCCGAAAATACTTGTCATCAAAATGGATAAAATGAGATGTATCTAAAACTAAGACAAGTAATTTTAGACGGAGAAAGTATGTTTTTACCGCTACGTCCCTGGTACTAGTATCAACTTGAAATGTGACACGTCAAAATTAGTGGCAAAGTTATTAAACCATTCTCTGTTTTGTGGTCGCATCGTGGTAGCAGGTGAAAGAATCTCCTTTTGATCGATCTAGTCACTAGCTTTTGTCCCGTATGAAGACTCCAACATTTGAAGTACGACACGCATAATGCACGTACGGATCCTGACGCAGGAACGCTCGGAGACATGAAGTGGTGCAAACTTAGTGAGTAAGAATAGCTTTATTCGAAAAAAGTAGGAATAGCAAAAAATCACTTTGGTGGATGAGCTCGTGAGCCTTATATTTGGAATAGTGCTAAAATGGTATTCCTAAGTTTAAAAAAATTCTGATAAAAATTCAACATGTTCATATGAATGTATATTACACATTGCAAAAATCATAAAAAAGAAGGGGAAACAAATAGTCATATAGAGTGTGCCACGGCTGTGTGAATGCACACAGGACCACCATGTATTGAGGACATTTTGTCTCTCGACTGTAACTGCCTCAATATGGAATAAAAATCCTTTTTCCCCAGCGAAAAATAGGAAATAAATTCAAAAAAGTGATGTTTTTTTTGGGGGTGAACTTCTACAGATCTTAAACACAACGTCCTGGTCGAGGTGACTGCCTTCCGCGCCACGCCCGGGCATCCTGTGCTTTCGGCGAGTGGGTACGTAGGGACCAGCGATGAATGATTTTGTCGCCTCTTTCCTCATCTTTTGATTCTTTTTCATATTGGTGACATGATTAGTGCTGTGTTTTTCCAACGTAAAGTCGATAGTAGTACTGTTGGTAGTCAAGGTCGTCGTCTAGGTATGGATCACCTTCGTCGCTATAAATCGACGCTCTGCGTCGTCTCATCCATCTAGTGAGGCTAGTCCAGACAGATAACCACAAGTCGGAAAGGAAAACCAGGCGAGATGAACGCACGCGACCTCCTCTTCTCCGGCGTCGACATCGTCAAGCAACAGGCGAGCGCCGTGGCCTCCACCGTCTCGCTGGCCAAGCCGTACCTCCCGGCAAAGCTAACCGAGATGAACACGGGCAACATCGTCGCCGGTCTCGGCTACGTCAAGAACCATACAGGAGCGGCCGTGGCCTCCACCGTTTCGTTGGCCAAGCCGTACCTCCCAGCAAGGCTTACCGGGATGAACACCGGCGACATCGTCGCAGGTCTCGGCTACGTCAAGAACCATACGGGAGCGGCCATGGTCTCCACCGTCTCGTTGGCCAAGCCGTACCTGCCCGCAAAGCTCTCCACGCGGGACGGTGCCGTGGGAACCGCGGCGATGGTCATCGGGGGCGCCGTGGGCGCCTACTTCCTCTGGCCCGCTGCGGCCGCCCCCGCCGCGGCCGGCGCCATGATGAAGGCGCCTGGTGCCGCCGGCTTCCTCATCTCCCGCACGGCGTTCCTGGCCAACCCGCAGGTCTACTACCAGATCCTCCGCACCGCTGGCGCCGCGGCGGCCGCCGCCGCTTTCGTGTAGGGAAGCAAGCAAACGCGCCCCTTGGATCTCTCCCCCGTTTGCTTTGTTTCGCGTAGTGTGTTTAATTAAGCGTGGTTCGACTATATGGTGGTTCATTCCATCTATTCTACTGCTGTATACAGTATACTCCTTGCCGTGGGAGCGAGAGAAGATGGGGGTGATAATAAGCGGTGCCTCGTACTCGTGTTTGCCATTGTTCTAGCCATTGTGTTCTGTTTGCGATATTGGTGTTTTGAAGCAATTGCTGGCTGCTGGTTCCTGCTGTATTCTCAGTTCATGTGTCGAATTGTCCCTATATTGTTATGATTCTGTCGTCTCTTCTATAGTACTCTCTCCGTTCCGAAATAATTATCGCTGGAGATAACCAGTTCATTTTTCGTCACGTTGTAATATTTCTCCGCTTTCCCCTTTTGCCCCTCGCACTCGCTCTCTCCCCGACAGCCGACAGGCCCCCCGGCTACCACTCGCCTCCTCCCCACCCCAGATCCGTCGACCTCACCCCACCCACCACCGCCCACCGCCAGCTCCGACGACCCCCCCTTGGCGCCCATCCACGAGCTGGAGCAGCCGGATGAGGACGACCCCATCGAGACCGCCTCTTCCTCCGGCGACCACGCCACCCAGCGCCACCAGGACGCCGCCGCACCACCACCGAGCTTCCAGCTATCCCCGTCCCAATCCCCTCCTCCGGGCGGCCGCTCCTCGCGCACCACCAGAAGCAGCACAAGCGGACAGCAGCAGCTGCGCCCGCCTCCCGCCCACGCGAGCAGAAGTCGTGCTCGATCCGGTCAAAGGTGATATTTTTACACGGGCGGTGGTGCTCGATCCGTGCTGGAGCAGCGGGAGGAGGATGGCGGCGCAGTGGTCTTCTGTTCTTCCCTGCTGTCGAGAAGCGCCCCCGGCCTGTTGACCCGCGCGCCCTCGTCCTGGCCGTGGCCGCTACCCGGGCTGCTCGCGAGGCGGCGCAACATGTCGGGGTCGCCGACGACCCTGAGGAGGAAGAGGAGTGCTTGGTCCGGCGCTCCGGCCGTCTCCTGCACCCTGCCGCCAAGCTCCTCGGAGATGCATCTGAATTTGTATGATGAGCTGTGATCAAATTCGCCCATCATATTTGTCTCTGCTAAAATTGAGCCTTGGGTTACATCTGAATTCAGGTAGGCCGTATGCATCGTTCTGATGCATAGGCCGGGGAGTCCCCCCTTTTCGAAAAAAAAATCTGAATTCAGGTAGGCGACAAGTGTTCGACGAGTGCTGGCTGCAGTGCCGGGCAGTGGTGCTTCGACTGCGAGGCGAAGCTCGCCGGCTCGGCGGCTCCCACTGCGCCCGCTCCACCGCCACCAACCCCTTCCAACTCGTTGTAAGAGTCTGCTTAATTCTTCCAGTTGTTTGATTCTTCTCTTTTTTTTCCTGTATCGGAGAAGGAATAAGAACAAGTGATTATGTTTGTTTATGATTTTGAGTTCCTTTATTCCTCTTTCCATAAATTCTTGGTTGGCCAGATCTGTTTCTGAAACAAACAGAATGCGGTTTATGTCATGGGCAGATTGTAGTTTGCTCAGCAGCAAACTTTCTCTTGTTCAGTCCGTGCCGACAAAAAGATGGATTTTATTAGGATATTTCCATAATCATGTTTATCTAATGTTGCTTGTATATTGGGGTCACATTCTCTACATGCATAGAGATTTCAGTAAGATATGGCAGGGCGTTATGGCCTAATTTTCTCCCAAAATCCAATAAGTTTGATTACCCGCCAACAAAAAATCCGATAACTTTGATGCTTCTCAAAATACCCAATTAGGAGTGTAGGACTTGTTTGGACTCAGTAGCCAAGAAAATCATGATGAAAACAATTTTTTTATGGCCCTAATGTTTAATTGTGAATTTGCTTTGCTTCTGGTTTGGTCTTCAGAACAACTTGTTGCCATTCAATAAGTACGCCTACCTCACAACGCACAATTCATTCACGATTGTTGGGGAACCGTCGCACACCGGATGCCAGCCATGGAGTAATTCAAGTTCAAGGTGATTCGATTCGATTCGGCAGCCCTCTCCGCTGCGATGTGCTGTAACTACACTTGATTTGAATTCTTTCTCTAATTCTTGCCGGTCCAAGCAATCAAGATCATCAGAGTCAATGACGGAGATGGTCCAACAGCTATGTTTCTGAGTGAGCAGGCACAAAGGATGCCCAGCTATGTTTATCTGTTGACCACTGTAATAAAACCTGTAGGATATCTAGCCTCAAATGTTATGACCAAGACCAACTAACAAAAGCCTGAAACTGAATCTTGATACTCCTGCTACGAATACAATCAAGCCGAGAAAATAAAATGTGTTGTCCATATGACATTTCACTATTTCATTTCAGTTTCAGAAATACACATTGATGGACTATGTCTAGTGTTTTTATTTACTGAATTTCGTTTTGCTGTTTTACTGTGTCTCTCATTCTCTTTACCGTGCCTAATTGGACATGCTTACTCTTGATTATGCTCCGGTTTAGGTCCCGGTTGGTACTGCCAGCAGCCTTGCCGGTCCAAGCAATCAAGATCATCAGCAAGTCAATAACGGAGACGGTCGAGCACTGTCATCACACTGAACCTGCAACACCAGTGAGATGACTGAAGATTGGGTTGTGGTTGGAGTGAGAGGAGAAGCAAATCACTTGACCAGTTGAATCCTTGTGAGTGCAACCCTCTATTTCATTCCCACTTTGTTGTTGGCAAAGTGATTTGTCACTGTATGATCATCTGCTTCTTCAGTGCAACATTCTTCAAAGTATGCCATGAAAACTTCCAAAAGAAAAAAAAAGTATGCCATGAGAATTTGGTTATCTGATTTTTTCTTCTGCAGGGGTGTACAAGACGGCCGAGCTGTGGCAGGTGAAGGAGCCACTGCCGCTGCCCGCGCCGAAGAAGTGCAACTGCTCCATGGTGTTCACCCTCAAGGAGATGGAGGAGGCCACCGGCATGTTCAGGAGAACTTCCTCTTTGGTTTGATACACATACATTATTTAACTGTGATTTAGAGTTATGATTATTTGATGTGGCGAACATAGAATCCTGCCTGCGCATTTCTGTGATTATTTTGTACCCTGAATTCAAGTAAATTAAGTTGCCTGTACCAAGTTGAGTATTTAGTTCGATGAGTAATTTTCTGTCTGGAGATGATGAGCAGAGCATAAAAATGATTGCTTATCTGTATACTGTTGTTGCTGTAGTTTAAAAGGCTCAAGATCTTCTACTCACATGCTTGTTTATCTCACATCTCTGAGCCAAAGTTATCTCACATGCTTGTTTATTCAATATTTTTCTGACATACGCGTAATACAGATGGCGTGCCCAAAGTGAAATCTGACCGGAGACTTCGAAAGATCAGAGGTAACATACTTTTAGCCGTGAAGGGTGAAATGCTCAAATGTTTATTTTGTTTTTGCGGTACCCCTTTTGTGCCAATGAAAGATCTTCCTGTCAGAGAGGGCTTAAGGATCTTCCTGTCAGAGGAGTACATTATTTTGTTTGACAGGAGTATTTCAAGATCAGTACATTATTTTGTTTGACAGGAGGGCTTAAGGACCTACAGTATCATGGTGATTTCGTATCAAAATCGAGGAGTACTCCTGTTCATTTGGAGAACTCAAACAGCAATTGATATGCATCAAAATTGGGATCAGCAGTAGCATGGGGCCTTATCATTCTGGTTTTTGGATGACTTAGTTAATCAAATTCCTCAATTGAGGAACACCTGAACTTGTCATTCCGGTCTTGGGATCAACAGTAGCATATGGACTTATCATTCTGGCTTTTGGATGATTTAGTTAATCAAATTGACATCAATTGACCTGTTTTTTGGATCAATTGCAGATTCTCTTGATTGGAGTGGAGAGGAGCAGAGACGAGAGGAGCAGCAGAAGTGGACAGCGCAACGGCTGACTTTGAGCTCTTGATTGGAGTGGGGGAGGCGGCCGACGAAGGATCTGTGGCCAGCAGCGAAGGATCCGAAGTTGTGGCGGAGCAGGCAGCCGGCGGGAAGGGCGGCCGGCGAGGGAGCTGCGGACCTTGGCGTGGAAGGGCGGCCGATGAGGGAGCTGCAGACCGCGGCGGGGAAGGGCCGGCCGGCGAGGGAGCTGCGGACCGCGGCGGGGAAGGACGCCGGATGAGCCCGGCGAAAGGGAGCAGCGACGGCGGAGAAGCCTGGCGTAGGGGAGGAGCGACGGAGGAAGACGCCTCCCGATGGATTTCAAATCGGGGGTAGTATTGTACTTTCACACTATTTCACCTGGTCGGAATGATGCCCCCAGCGACAATTATTTCGGAACGGAGGGAGTAGATTTCAGATGTGATAAAGAAGCCAACATAATCTATCAAAATCGCACCCATGGAGGCAATATTCCTTTCGCAATCAAATGATGCATCTATAGTCAACTTGAGTGTACCTTGTGGTGGTTTAGCCCACATTACCTCTTTTGCCGAAAATTGAACAATGCATGCCCGACAAAAGTTCAAAGCAAGGGCTTGTATTGAGAAAATAAAACGTTTAGGTTTAGGGATATTTTCTCCTTTTGTGCAATGTCTTCCTTTCCACCATATGAACCAACTAGCCACTGCAATTAAACATGATACAGGGATTTGAGCAAATAGCGTAGATCATGAGTCGAACTACAAATCAGCTCCTCTAGTACAACCGAACCAACCCTATCAACAATCAAAGCTCTTCCACTTTTTCCAATAGGCTCAGGTTTTCCAAACTTTCTGCGCTCAAACACATTCAAATAAAGCCTGGCATATGTCTTCAATATGCACTTGCCACATAGGACATACAGTATGAATTTTCATATGCCGGTCAGCAAGAATAAATTACATGTAATCACACTCTGTAATATTCTCCACACATGAACCTTGACTTCGCCTGGGAATTTTAATTTCCGTAATACATTCCAAATTGGGTTGGCCGCTGATCCACCTTGGATGTTACTTCCTTCAAATTTGCTACCAAACCTA